TCATCGCGCAATATCGACCGTTAACAATGCAGTTACTAACGAATGTAAATACATGTACACACATGGTTCTGGTTTAACGTATCTATACCATAATATCATATTACGACATGTCAGCCTTACGTGTCGTGACTTCGCATAATGTACAGACTTTAGATGCGCATTAGTGGTAAAACCCATGAGTACAGATATAGGGCTGACAGTCAAACCTATCATACGGCGACCCTGGGATGTGAACCCATGATCTGGCATGAAGCCAGGATGCCATTCTAGTAAGCACCTGAATTGACCACTCCCGACTCTGTGAGTGTGTATGTGTGTGGGGGCGTGCGTGCGTACTTGCGTGTGTTCGTGAATGTATGTTTGCATGCATTCATGTTTGTGTGTGTGCGTGCGCGCGTGCGTGGGCGTATGTTATGGCTTACGTCTAATGCTGAGTTGAAACTTGCACTCCTTCTGTAAACCATTGTTTGTCTTGGTGGCCACGTACTGGACGAAGAAGTCGCCCCAGGGGAAGCGGGAGGAGTTGCTGACGTAGTTGGATGTCGTAGTGACTTCGTTATCAAGTGGGTCTGTGAAGGCTGGCACTGTCCACTCGTGGGTCAGTTCGTGGTCAGCTGTATTGAGATCTGTCCTGTTTCCACAGCCACTCATTACAGGGGGGTTGGACGTCTGGAGCAATATTAGGGAATATTGTGTATATGGTTTCTATTTGTAAGGTTGAAAAATCAGATATAAAGTACATATAATGAATAAACAGTCATACATACTCAACAACATGCCACTCCATCGCGTTTGTGTCTTGGGAAGAATTCTTGGGAGAAAAGCGTGTTTTCAGATTTGAGGTGCTATTAGCATTCAATGGCGGCAAATTTTCTGACTTGACCAGACATGTTGGAAGTCTTACCTTCTTCACAGTTGACCCCTGACCATCCAGGTGGACACACACACGTGTACAGGTCCAGGCCGTTCACACACGTGCCTCCGTTCTGGCAGGGGTTGCTGTTGCAGGATTCAGCGACTGGAGACACAAACAAATGTGACCGTTATACAAACGCCTTGAAATATTCTGACGTGGTGTGTAGCAATAAATGCCATAGACTTGACAAGACATACCATGATCACTTAATGCGTGTTGTTGTATTGTAGCTGCTTCGTTATATCAGGGGATATTCGAGATTATACCACTAGGGTATGTTATGTCCATTGTTCTGGCAGGTTGATGTTCTGTGTATCAACCTACTATCTGCACGTGCAGAGGTTGATATGTGGATAACAACCTCTGCGGTGCAGGAAACGCACGTGCAACAAGCAATGGACGAGTCCATTCGGCACCCACGTGGTGTAAGTAGGTTAGCACACACACACACACACACACACACACACACACACCCCTCTGCGGGTGATATGGATTCAAATCAACCTTGAAGAGGGTGCTAACGTATACATAACAAGTCATTGCAGCGAGTTGGCGGGCACTGGTAACGGATGGCCAAGCGAAAGGTAGGACCAGTTGTAACATTGCAATAGACATGTTCACGGTGTATTCTTTGGGTGCAAACAGAAAGACGACAGGTGGCTAAACACTGTCTCTCCAACACCCAACCACACACCTCATCGTTGGCCAAGCATCTGCTTATGTGGCATGGTCCGAACGGATATAAATTTGAGAGGGTCTCATAAACTCTTGTCTCTCAACACCTGACCCCAAAACGACGCAGTTTCAACGACCAAGGCCCACTCGTGCTCTGGGCCAGGACTTTTGGCTGGTCATTGTATTCTATGGATGTTTTCCAGGTAGTCAGTTACGATGTGTGTACGGTGGATACGAGCCTCACCATCTTCATACACAATAGAAGCGACAAACCCCTTTCCGCATCCATGGACCAGGATTGCAAACCGCACAACCAGTACGATTTTTGGGTTGAGTTGTTCAGCTACCCTTCCATGGACACTATACAACAGCATTCTGGCGGTCATCCTAATGGTCACACTGACCACGCCACACCAGACCTAATCCCAATTGGCGTTGGAAGAATGTGCCGATGTGTCAAGGTTTGTACTCAGTGGATGTCTCTCGTTGAGTTCTACTTTGCAGTTTGAAGAATGGAAAAGCCCTTAGTCGTTCAGCACAGTGTAGGTGACATGTTTTCGGTAACAAATACTGCATTATAGTAAAGTGTCGATAGCTGATATATATCCCGGTGTCAGGGGTTTTCGACGATGTAAGACAAAAACGTAATTTTTATCTGTAATATCATTTAAAGTTTTATTTTACTAACCTCGGGTGATAAAGGATATATTCATCTATTTCACACAAAAATATCAAGTGTTTCATACAAAAATAGCGTTGATGACATCGTATCGGCGAAACAGTGGCCGCTCGTAACACCCGGGTATTTTGTATGGGTTTTCGACGATGAGCCATACTTTTTGCTCCGCACTGCGAGGGAGTGTTGTGATCACGTGGCTTCCTATTTATATATTGCCTGTCGCCAGCAGACGACTGATCTTACTGAATTTTCGCTTGCTATTATTTGTTATAAAGGCAATTGATTTTGCATCTGAAGTGGTATTAACGATCTCGGGTAAATAATATTGATGTTTGTTTGTTTTTCACATAACTTTACTTCCCGACTTCCATTGTCAATAAAACTTCTCACGACAGCGGCTGGGCACCCGCCCTACCAGTGAAACTGTTTGTTCACTCCGATCGCACAACTACTCACCCGATATAGCGCGAGCAATGCAATCGTCGAAATCACCAGAACGTCGAGTACAGCTCGTGTTGGGATATGTGTGCTACTGTGTCTAATGAATAGCATCAATGGCCGAGATCGGTTTCAGATAATTCCCTAGAGGGTGACACGCATACACAGAGGTACTGAATGACTGATGGGAAACCTTTTCTTTATGTTAGAGTGTTCCATGGTGGTCCCAGTGTTGTTTTACCTCATTCGCTTTTCATATCCGACTTATCTACATCGTTCAGGCGCACGTTCCTTTGAAGAGGATGATCCATGCGCTATGAACATAGAGATTATTACACGAGTGTTTCATACGACTTATACGAAACGAGTGTAAAATTCCTTTCGCTCGAGCAATATGCAATTTTGCACGAATTTCGTATAAGTCGTGTGGCACACTTGCGAGTGTAATAATTTCTTTTTAATCCATTTTATTCATGTACATATGTGCAGTAAAACACGGTAAGCAAGTGTGACTGCCCTGTTCACTGATGTCACGTTCAACTGTTTAATGACGTCACAGATGACGAAATACAGAAACAATGGTTGCTTGGCAAAAGTCATATGTACGCATGTGCACATATGGTATATATGACACTGGTTATGTTTCACCATATGGATAAAAAATACCATTATTAAAGGTCTAAAGATTCAACATTAAAGGTCTAAAGGTTCTGTTTCAATATTCTATGCTTCAGTGCGGCAATGCAGCAATAACTATTGCTGTAGAACCATGATAATTTTCATTAACGAGTCATGACTTACATAGGCACCTTGGCGTAGACCCTGTCCAGTAGCCGTATGTGAAGTAGCTGCTGTATGTTGAACACGTCATTGTGGCCGATCCAGTTATGTTGTATCCGTCGCTGCACGTGTATGTGGCCACACTGCCGTAGTTGTAGCTGTTGCTGACGGTGTAGGCACCTTTAGACGTTGTTTGTGGCGTACCGCAGGTAACAACTTACATAAAGACAATAGCGTTATGTGAATAAAAATAGACATATAAAGCGGTTTGTTATATGAGGTAAAAATAGAAAATACTTTGAGAGAGACATTTTGTAAAATGAATTACTGAGAGAGGAACATGACAAAATACGTTCATATTGGTCGATATCTGCACGCCCATTCATCAGAACATAAATATGTACAGACTACATATACTGTCATCGGCATATATTACGTAACACTGGCTCTGGATCAGGTTTTTTCCTTCATCTACGAAATTTGTTAAAGGAAACGATGTGCTAAATTTAAGGATATTAGGAGGACTTTTTATGCCGGCTTTAAATCAAAGGGTCATTCACCCACTACACGTGCAGCGACATTTACCCGAAGAAAGACCAATTATCACTAACTGACCCTTGAAGAAACGGATTAGAATAGATGGCAGCGGACTGAAAATAATCGAGTCTGGACCAGAACAATCCAGTGATCAGCAGCATAAGCATCGATCTAAGCAACTGGGATACGATAACACGTGTCAACCTGACCACCCGATCCCGTTAGTCGCGACAAACATGGGTTGCTGAAGACTGTTAAATATCTTAGGTAAGTACTGTGTCATTATACAAACATTCCCGACCTGCGTGGGGGATATTACCAGGTGAAATCAGTTTTATGTTTCGAAGAATAACATACAAGCGGTTACTAATCAGCAAACAGAGGATGAAATACAGACATGTGATTAGTTCAATAACTTTACCATTATCACAGCATGTTCCGTATCTTCCTGCCGGGCACCTGCATCCGCCGTAGGAGGAGTCGTACGAACCGTAGGTACAGTGGGTGTTGCAGTCTTGGTAGTCAGAGCCGCCGGCTCCACCATCACAGTGTCTAAAAGTCCCACAACTGTCAAGCACCCACACTTTCCTCTTTCTCACCTGCCTCCCGTAGCAGAGCTTTGAGCATTTCGACCATTCTTGCCAAACATCCCATCTGCATTCACACGCATCCCATGTTGGAGCTCTCTGACTCCACGCAGCAGGCAGCATCAGCAGAACAAATATATACCATATACATGAAAACATTGTGGCCTTGTAAACCCTTTTCTGGTTGTAGAAGATACTATCCGGATGAAAACTTCATCAAAAAACCCTGTTGACTGTTTCATCTATTTCTAGAGACAAGATTCGGAAAACAGTCCTTGCATTACTTCTTCAATGGCTGGACAAAGACGTCGGTTGAGATAAGGCTATTGGGTAGATTTGGGACCGCCTATCCATACTGGCTATACTTAATACAGGCGTCACACGACAAGGTGTAATCTAATATGCCGCCTTCACATGATCTACACCCGAAACAGGCTTTTCCGTTACAGGCATAGAAACAGACTTCAGGCAACCAGCAGGGGTAAGTGGAATATTGCGCTACAGATAATTCTTAAGTACATTTAGCAAGATAGGTATTATGAGTGTAAGCTGAAGTATCAATCTTGCAGATATTTACATTTTCATTTTGATTTCCTATAAGTGACGTCTTCTGGTTGGTTAGTTCTCAATTACTGGATAAAGCCCTGTCAGCCTAAACTGAACACGCAGATCGCTAGTTGCAAAGTTGAAGGAAGAATTCAAGAATTAGTCATACAAAAATATACACGAAAACGATAGTACAATGTTATTAACATATTTTCTGAGCTGTCGGATCAAATGAAAAATGAAAAACTTACGCCAACATATGACATATTTTTCCAGGTTTATTCTTAAGTCATTGTTTTACACATCGTAGACATTTTTCCTAATGTTTTTTCACCTATGCATATTAAAAGGAAAATAGAACAATTCAATTTTTACTCGTTTGGTTTATGATGATTATATGAATCCGATGATAATTACACTTATCGCCTGTAGTATGGAACTGTGGAAGATTCGATGCCAACAAATGCTGAAAACGCTATATTGTTGCTTCAAGGTCATATATTGAGGTCACGACTCGTAGTCCAGATTTAACAGTGTTATGTTTTCAGGACCAGTCACCGATCGATTTAATATTCTACCGGTGTCCAGGATAATCTTAAAATAATAATTTATCTCCGATATTTACTTACATAAACGTAAATGTTTGCAGTATTGGCTTCATTCCCTGGCATATAATATTTCTCCTTTCATTATCAAATATATTTGTCATTATTTCGAGGTATTTAGTCGGGTTATCCCGTGGCCTTCAGATAATAATAAGTTCCTGGCTTCCTGGTATTATCTTAAGGATTCCGGGTATTATCTTAAGGATTCCTGGTATTATCTTAAGGATTCCTGGTATTATCTTAATGATTCCTGGTGTTATCTTAAGGATTCCGGGTATTATCTTAAGTTTTCCTGGTATTATCTTAAGGATTCCGGTATTATCTTAATGATTCCTGGTATTATCTTAAGGATTCCGGGTATTATCTTAAGGATTCCTGGTATTATCCTAAGGATTCCTGGTATTATCTTAAGGATTCCTGTATTATCTTAAGGATTCCGGGTATTATCTTAAGAATTCCGGGTATTATCTTGTGGATTACGAGTATCTTCTCGTGGCCTCGGATTATTATGTCGGAGATTTAAGGTATTATCTAGGGCCCTCTTGTTTTTCTGTTTAGTTATGTGTGTGTGAGGTGTGATGCCGTGACTCCTACCAATATTCTTGAGGTCTGTGTGTTTTAGATTAATTGCGGCCCGCAGGTGTGTCAGGTAATTAATTAACGACCACGAGGTTTTATCTGGTATTATCTTATGGCCTCTAATTATCATCCTGCGACATTAAGGCATTATCGTCTTGTGACCTTTGCGTTTTATTTCATAGTCTCATGGTATTATCATGTAGTCCTCCAAACAGTATTTGCTTGTCTCAGGGTAAGATCTCAAAATCTAGAGGTATGTACTCGCGACCTCCATTATGTTATATTCTTCCGTAATCCGAATTCCGAATTATTCTATTTTTAGTGCCACATATTCCGCAGGTGATTTTAATATGTGGGCACATGTACTTTACTGGAATGTGTATACCATTAAAAACAGTTTAACAAATGCCGAAACATTTCTGTCGGTCTTTTATATTAAAACTGCACTTACTAAGCAAGGGTCCACTCAACCTCATTCGAGTAATTACATTAAGTATACGAATGAAGCCGAACTCACAGCAACATGTAGAACAATTAGCTACGCAGTCTGTAAAATTTAGCCAGATGGTTTCTTCTTATAAGCCGGCAAAACCAGTGGTTAATGTTATGAGATACATATCACGTCATCAGAAAATGATTACACCAAATCACCTAGCAACTCAATCATTTGCAGCTCCTCTTGCATGTCATATATAGTATGACCAGAATTGATTGAGAATTTTAGTAATATGTTTAATTGGATTTCTAGTATAAACAACCTTGACCAGCTATCAAGTGCTTGGTTTCATTCAAGAGAGACAACTCCGTTAATCCTTTTTCATAAGTTTGTGAAGAGTTATCCCCCTTTGTTTACTTGCTAGCAGACGACATTTTCAGTGGTCCTCAGTATGGATGATTTAGAGAAGAGGAAGTTGATTTTAGAGTATTATAACAAGGACATCAGATCAGCTAAAGTGACTTCAAGTAGAACATGAAACCGATCATGAAACCTGAACAAAAGGAGCGAAGGTTGAACTGGTGCTTACAGCATAGAAAATTTAACTGGGACAATGTGATTTTCTCAGATGAAAGTTCTGTGTGGCTGTGTCCTAATACACTGAAATTCTCGACCAAACAAACTGAAAAACCTTTGTATCAGCGCCCAAAGTACAGTCCGAAATTTAATGTGTGGGGTGGCATATCTAAGTTAGGGGCAACGCCCCTCTGTGTATTTGAAGGGAATATGAACAGTGAGCGGTACACAGATATTCTCGAAAGAACATTTACTTCCATCTGCTCACGTGTTCTATGGAAATGTTTGGATTTCCAGCAGGACAACGACCCAAAACATCGCTCGAGGCATTCACAGGCCTGGTTTCGGACCCAAAATATGGCATTATTAGATTGGCCAAGCTATAGCCCTGACCTAAATCCTATAGAAAATGTTTGGGGACTTATGAAGGAAAGTGTCAATAAGAAAAATCAAAAAATATTGCTGAAATGAAAGAAAGGTGGTCCTATATTGGGACAGCATGGACCACGACTTTCTAACTTCTTTGATCAGTAGTATGTCCCGCCGCATTGAAGCCTGCATTGCTGCCCATGGTGACTTGACAAAATACTGTCTTTGAATCTGGAGTTATGTTCTGCTAATATTCACATTTAATACGTGATTAATGAGTGAAAAAAAATATAAAAAATTACAATCTTTAAATTCTCAATAATTTCTGGTTATACTGTACATATACAGCGACAACGCATACAGCTGGCCTTATGGCCTATACCTATACTGGTGGCTGTTACCGTCGCTGAAGATATACATTTCCTTTCTTTAATGTTAGAAACCCGAACTATCGTTCACTGACAGTGATATTTCGTACTGAAGTCTCACATGAACATTTCGATGTCTATCTACATATTGGTGTCTATCTATTCTAACGAAAGGGATTCCATTGTGTAGGGGATAGAGCGTCTAGTCCGATACCGGCCCAGTCATGCATCAACAAGGTAAAACATGTTACTCCATATATAACCCTGCTTGGCACTCGCCAGTTACTGGATAACCAAGGACTGATATATAGGCTGTAAGACATGTAGAAGTACGGTTATTCATGTTGATCCTCGACATGGCACTGTACAACCGGTCGCATGACCGCATGCAGCACATCTTCACCTACGATATTTTATTTATTTTATTTTATTTTATTCCATTTTATTTTTATTTTCGGGTCCGTGTTCGTTAATTGTGAAGCCAAGGAACATTCTGGATCATGAAAAGCAAGCATGCTAAGTCTCACGTTTTTAAGGGCGTTCTGGGATTGTGGGAACGTATACATGTGTATACGTTATAGGTGTACCTTTACAATATATTCACAAATCCTCCCAAAGCATATTGTCATATATTTATAGTCTATTTACAGACAAGCAAACATTAAAAAAATCTATAGTACATTCCTAGCTAAAATTTAAACGGTGAAATGGTTGCCTATCAGCTGAAAGGGATATCATGTATTGTTATATGCATGCATCAGAAGGATCTCTCATGCAGAGGGAGACTACTCTTAACAAGTCAACTTAAAAACAAACTTCCCTAATTTGTTAGACAATATGAGAAAAGAGTTGGAGTACCAATGTTTTGAACAAGATGCTTACTTGAGGTCACTCCCATTCTGTACCTCCTTTCTGTTGGCGACTTGGTGCCTGAGTGGTTTAGATCGCGGCGAATGGATGATGCTTCACTCGCAGAATGTGGGTTCGAATCCCGCACTGAACTCAACCAAATACTAGAATTTACACTTTACTAAGAAAGTGTTATTCCACAAAACATTTGTGTGACTAGTCTTCATCACGATGATGAAAATGTTTTACAGTGACACAGTTATAATACATTTCATTGTAATGTGTATTCCACGTAACGTAATTATATAAAGCAAATTTAGCTAGAATTTGTAGATTTTAAACGTGCCTGTCAACACTTATAATAATGTTCATACTTTAACTGAACCGATTAGAACAGCTTTCAACAATTTGACTTCGCGAGTAGCTGTAAAACTGCTGATCTTGCGTTAAGCAAATATCACTCCCTCACTCCATCAAAAGCGAGAGAAAAAACACCTGAACAGTGAAGTCTCAGTAGCACATTATACAATACTTTGCTATTCGCCTCAAGGAAATAGCCTGCACACATAGAGGCTCACATCACTGATATCTGCCTTCTCATAGTGTTCCTATACAATGTATTTCTTTAACGTGTGATTATGGTGCGCACGCTGCTGAATTGGTTCAGGTCTTTCGAGTTGAATATAATTAACATGATTATTATTTACATGACAATCACTTAAACATTTCAGTTCAGGTCCATGGCTCGCTCAGTGTGGTTGTGTTTGGTTCTCATTGTCGGCGTCGCTGAAAGTCGAATTCTTACAAAGGATTTGTACAGGGTAAGTAGCATTTAGTCTGGTGTTTGCTTCACGTCGTACTCAGCAATGTTCCAGCTATATGGCGGCTATCTGTAAATAATCAAGCTTGGACTAGACAGTCCAGTAATCAGCATTATGAGCATCGATCTACACGTTTTGGATATGATGACATGTGTGAATCAAGTCAACGAGCCTGGCCACCCGATCCCGTCAGCCGCCTCTTACAAAAAGCATGGGTTACTGAAGATCAATTCTAACCATGATGCATAAGACATAAGTGTAAGATGTGTCTTCTTTCACATAAGTTGACTGAAGACTGACACAATTGTGAAATGTTTCTCGTAATATTTTTGGACTCTTAAACACTCGCGTTGCAGAGTTACATCCCTTAGTTGTATCAGAAACATATGATAGCATTTTCGAATACTCGTGCTCTCAAATATATGTTTCCAAATATATGTTTGTCAGTTCAATAAACGGTCTGACCTGACCTACTGCTGGATTCCATATAAATCTAAGCTGACACGCCGTGGTATAACTGAAATACTGTTTCACTCGCTCCTTGTTCTGTTCTCCAGATACAGGATCTGGAGACTCGGGATGCGTGTGAGCTTCTGGACAGATTGGACGGGGATGTGCAGTGCAAAGGAAGTACCTACGATGCATTTTCTGTTGCCGGGCACGTAATCACAATGGCTGACACGGGGACTGTATGCCGGGCTAGACATTCGCTGGATTTTTTTGCTTGTAAAGGAGGGCTTTGGGTCCAAGGTAGTAATCTTGTATCTTGTTTGTTTGCTTGTTTAAAATTTGTTTGTCACAAACACTTTTATATGTTATCTGTCTATCCAATATAACTGATAATGTCCTAAACATATTGCAAATGACAGAATGCATACGTTTCATATTCTTGCCTTTTTTTTATGAAACTTGTACTGGTGAGACTTATTTGATCGTTTATCACTGAGGTTCATGGCTTCTTGTTGGTCCTTCATCAGACGAACACTGAACGTACACCTCATCCCCATGTCATCCTTTGTATTACGTATATATGGCCATGAGGCCAACAGTACAACATGTGTAAAACATTATGGTAAAAACATGCATACCTCATCCCCATGGGGGCGGTGGGGTAGCCCAGTGGTTTAAGCGTTGGCTCGTCACACCGAAGACCCGGGTTCGATTCCCCACATGGGCACAATGTGTTAAGCCCATTTCTGGTGTCCCCCGCCGTGATGTTGCTGGAATATTGCTAAAAGCGGCGTAAAACTAAACTCAGTCAGTCAGTCAGTCATCCCCATGCTCCCCCTAGGAAATCGCCATATTGCCAACAGACGTCAATGACATAATCAATATCGTCACTGGTTACGACTTCTGTTTTCCTCTGTCCCGATTCACTTTTCACTTCCTTGATAGTGTCCTTGTGTTTGGCAAATTCAAGATGAACATCAAGCCAGTATCAGACAAATGCCTGAGACAATGTGATGGCGGTGGATCGTTAATGATGTGGGGTGCCATCACAATGACTGAGACAATGTGACGGTGGTGGATCGTTGATGATGTAGGCTGTCATCACAATGACTGAAACAATGTGACGTGTGACGGCGTCGGATCGTTGATGATGTAGGCTGTCATCACCATGACTGAAACAATGTGATGGCGGTGGATCGTTGATGATGTGGAATGGCATCACCATGGCTCAGTCAATGTGACGGCGGTGAATCGTTGATGATGTGGGCTGTCATCACCGTGGCTGAGACAATGTGACGGCGGTGGTTCGTTGATGATGTTGGCTGTCATCACCGTTGCTGAGACAATAAGACGGCGGTGGATCGTTGAAGATGTAGGCTGTCATCACCATGGCTCAGACAATGTCACGGCGGTGGATCGTTGATGATGTGGGCTGTCATCACCGTTGCTGAGACAATAAGACGGCGGTGGATCGTTGATGATGTAGGCTGTCATCACCATGGCTCAGACAATGTGACGGTGGTGGATCGTTGATGATCATCCTACTCAACCTACTCTCCCATCTCGTCCACACACATATCCTAACCACTCGCCCAAACCCACGCACCCAAAACCCACCTCTTCAATAGGCCATCTCAACCATTCGCCCATCTTACAACTCTCCACCATTCGCTCATCTCGCCCGTGTCTCCCACTCATCTATCTCGCGCAGTCTACTATCTGAACCACTCGCCTGTCTCACCGAACTCACCCATACATCACTTAACCAGTCGCCAATCTCACCCACTCGCCCACGCTTGTATTCACACACCATCATACTCACCCACAAACCCAGCCGCCCATTCACCCACCCGGCAACTCATTAACTCATGCACCCGCCCAATTCTACTTTCAGTACCAATCTCCTATGCTCGGTCGTTAAAACGTCCTGAGGATCGGCATCACAGAGAAAAGCGATTTTTGGAGACTCTTTCAGCTATAGTTGACATTGCATCTGGAATTGCAAACATCTTCTGCATGTTTCTGTGTGATAGCGGTATGTATATTTTCAATGTCAAGGACAGTTTGGCATACGATACATAGACTGACACCCCAGATCTTGAAACCAAAAATATGTAAAGGCCAGTGAGATTGTTGGCATATGATCATTCATTTTTTGTGATTTTTTTTTTAGTCGATAAACTCAATGTACATTTATGCATAGCATCACCCCTATGATTTGCTTGAGCTTCCCAATGCAAGGTTGGCTGCAAACGTTAGGCAAGTTGATTTTGGAGTAAAATAACCTATAACAATATGACATGGGTGCGTGTATAATTTCATGTTGGATTAATGCCTCTTGGGTTGAATCAGTGCATGGTTGGTCCATACGCGATCGAGTCAGTAAGGGCTGTAGCGATTCATCCACGAACATACGCATTTTTTACCTTTTATGGGGAAGTGGTGTCGCGATAAAAAGAACAAGCAAACCGTTGCTATACGTAATAAAAAGATGTAGATTGATTCGTCTTCTTAACTTTCCATGTACATTTATGAAGACACATCACCATAATAGATAAATGTAAAACATCAACGAATATCTGTCGAAATAACACCCGTGGAGTGTAATAGCCATATAACTGTATATGAATGACTCAAAACCGAAGTGGATATCGAACGTTAGGCACACGAAATGTATAAAAACTGTAAATCATTAGACATACATATCTGCTACCAATTTACACACACATCTCACAAAGAAAATTGTTATACAGTACAACCAGAAATTATTGAGAATTTAAAGATTGTAATTTTTTATATTTATTTCACTCATTACTCACGTATTAATGTGAATATTAGCAGAACGTCGTGGAAAGTTAGAAAGTCGTGGTCCATGCTGTCCCAATATCGGACCACCTCTTCTTTCATTTCAGCCATATTTGTCAGATTTTTCTTATTGACACTTTCCTTCATAAGTCCTCAAACATTTTCTATTGGATTTAGGTCAGGGCTATAGCTTGGCCAATCTAATAATGTCATATTTTGGGTCCGACACCAGGCCTGCGAATGCTTTGAACGATGTTTTGGGGCGTTGTCCTGCTGGAAAATCGAAACATTTCCATAGAACACGTGAGCAGATGGAAGTAAATGTCCCTCGAGAATATTTGTGTACTGCTCACTGTTCATATTCCCTTTAAATACACAGAGGGGCGTTTTTTCAAAACACGATAAACAGTGGACAAAGGGATGCCTGTTCTACTTGAAATCACTTTAGCTGATCTGATGTCCTTGTTATAATACTCTAAAATCAACTTCCCCTTTTCTAAATCATCCATACTGAAGATCACTGAAAATGTCGTCTGCTAGCAAGTAAACAAAGGGGGATAACTCTTCATAAACTAATGGAAAAGGATTAACGGAGTTGTCTCTCTTAAATGAAACCAAACACTTGATAGCTAGTCAAGGTTGTTTATACTAGAAATTCAATTAAACATATTCCTAAAATTCTCAATAATTTCTGGTCATACTATATGACAGATGTGACGTGTGACGTTTATTGTGTGTTACTGGTAATTATCCATCAGGGGATGGAGGAGAAGAAGGCCCACCGCCAAACACGTTCCCTCAGATTGACTGTCCGTATGTTGGGCCGCAGTTTGCCAAGACGGGAGACAAGATGGTGGTGACCTGGACGGAACCGAAGGGAACGGACAACGAGGATGGCAGTCTAAGGTTCTCTTTCATGTAACATTCTTAGTGTCAGTAACATTCTTAGTGTCAGTAACACTCTCAGTAACATTCCCGTTATCATTAACTCTGTTAGTATCAGTAACATCCTCAGTGTCAGTAACTATTTAATAATAATAATAATGGAGAGCATTTATATAGCGCTAATCTCCGAAAGGACTCTTTGCGCATTTCTTTCACAAAAAGGGACGGAAAGGACACATTCAAGGAAAGCTTGTTTAAATGAGAATGTTTTTAAACCGATCTTGAATGAACTAGAGAAGGGGAATTACCGAGTTCATTTGGGAGAGCATTCCAAACTGAGGGCGCACTGTATTTGAAAGAGCGCTGTCTTGCTGTTGAACTTTGGGATTTTTAACAGTTTTTCACTGGAAGAGAGGAGAGTTCGTGGAACCTAGTGTCGGCAATATTCTTAGTGTCACAAGAGTTGATATTTTTACACCTGTTGTTGCAATTTACGAATCCATAGCTTAGCAAAATAACGGCATTCCAAAGATCGTCGATGTGTGGAACGCGCGGTTCTCTCGAAGTCATCGTACGTTTATCGGACGTCGGAGAAGTTACGTAGAACTCTTCAATTACCAAAATCTTCCAAATTCAGCTGCAATCACCATCATATGAAGACACATCGCCGAAACGCAACAATAATTTCCACTTGGAAATAGGCCATGTATGCTTTTTCACCATTTTGTCCAAATATGGTTTGCATGTTTTTTACGCAAAGTGAAAAAATTAAATGCCAAACGGGTATAAAAACCAAGGCAAACGGGTTGTCAGACATTTATTCCATTCAAAATACACCAAAAGAATGGTTCAGTTAGCTTTTCGACAACGAGAACGAGTGATCGGAATGATCGAAATGGGAGCCTTCTACACCCATGGTGCAAGAACGCTTGGCTGTCATCGCGTCACCCTCACCAGACTAATGGAGCGATATCGTCAGACAGGACTGACCTCGATCAGGCAGGCCACGATCAGGCAGCCCTCCAGTCACAACACCCCAGGAGGACCAGTATCTGCCCTCTGTATCTCAGAAACCGCTTCCTGACGCCGCATGGCCGCATGGCTTGGGTCAGAAAAACGCAGAAAAGCCCACATTAATCGTGGAAATAGCAACATAAACACATTACCTCGCTACTGAAACAGTAAAAACGGCAACTAAAAACTATGAAACTGCAACATTTTTATATCAGCGAACTTTGACCTCTACTGCGCATGCGAATTACGATCCGGGCTTCTTTCCAATTTCCGAGCAACCGTGAATCGCCTAGCGTATAAAAAGTATTAAATATGTCAAAATAATTGCTGTCAATCGTTTCATACGAATGGAAAGTAAACTAAACAAGTGTGCACACAAGTATCATGATGATAAATGCCAAATAACACAACAGAAATACTTAAAAAGGAATGTCAACATGCGGTCGATACTTCCTCTTCAATGTGCGCATGCGCAAAATAGAAGTTGCGGGCTCCTCGTTTTATGATGCAGTGTTAGCGATTTAAAGTTCGATGCTCATGCTGTTGATCACTGGATTGTCTGGTCCAGACTCGATTATTTACAGACCACCGCCATATAGCTGGAATATTGCTGAGTGCGGTGTAAAACTAAACTCACTCACTCACACACCTGTAAGGAGCACTCTCTCTCAGTCACCGACGTACAGTTCGTGTCCACTGCAGTCTGCGCTGACGGTGTAGACGGACGGGTCAGTGCCATTCCACGGAAGGGGGAGGGGTAGGTTTAGGCTCGCATACCAGCTATGACAAATCCTAAAAGGACTGTTCATCTGCTGATGGCGTGTCCTAGTGCTGTCGCAGTCAAGAACATGTTCCGGATATGTAGCGGTCTTCGTGACTGTTGGTCTTCCCGATCTTGGGTGGTATTGGGTCTGGCCTCTTTGCTGGTAGCGGTTTATCAATTTGCTGATGGTGGCCTGGTTGCAGTTGAAGGTTCTGACCCAAATATTGACCATACCGACCACCCGGTCTCATTGCGCTTGCGTAAGTCTTGGCATATTCGTGGTGGTCCTTTGCCAATTGGATACTAAACCAGCTTAAGTCTGGGCTAGTACAAGCAGCCGCACCTACACATACGCACGCATGCACGTCGTCATATGAGCGAAATATTCTCAAGCACGACGTTAAACCCAATTTCACCTCACCTCACCTTTGGTTACTGCATGTTTGCTTTGTCTAACATCCGTATTTATGTCACAATTATACACATGCGTTTTGTCTAATGTCCAACAATTACGATTGAGACCTTTTCTCTATTCATACGAAGTTTTAGGACAGCTGCGTTGTTTTGTTGAATGTTTTGTTGAATGTTTTCTGCTTGGGTTCAAACCTGTACAAGCGTTTTTGTTTCTTATACAATTACTTTGAAAGTGATAACGTTCTTTTGCTCAGTAGTTTACATAACCAAAGCTTTCTGAACGTTTTAAAACTCATTTTGTCAGATCACACTGGAATGTTGCACACTAGTGCTCCTGACTATAATTGTCAACAGAAACTTGACTGTCAACAGAAAGATACGCAATGAATAACATGTACATTGCTCCATAACTTGTTGCAGCCCTAGGAGATCAGGGTTACCTCCTGGAAGTGAGTTCATTGCGGCCACACACTTTATCAAGTACCGAGTTGTGGACAGTGGTGGACTGTCCGCAGACTGTGATATTGTCTTCACAGTGAACAGTAAGTTACGACCTTCACACGTGTGTACATGTGTGTTTGCTTGTGCTTCTTCTTGTGTGTCTATGATCTTGTTCTAGCCAAGATATATCTGAGGTGTTATTCCATTGAGATGCCATCCTGCATCGATCATTGCATCACTTGCACAAAGTGTTAAGTTGACCGTATACCAATACGTTGTAATAGGTTTAGTAAAGATGTACGTATAACGCTGAGAACACTCAGTGCAACAGGGTACCCCGTTCTTTCAATCTCTTGATGCCAACCGCCAAAAGTAGTATCTTTTAATCTTTGGCATGATGACAATACTGGACAATCCACCCTCACTTTTCCGCCAACATGGCCAACGTTCTATCCACTACTCCAGGCGTTTATATGTTCAAGGGGTAGCGGGGTAGCTTAGTGGTTAAAGCGTCTACTTGTCACGCCGAGGACCCGGGTTCGATTCCCCACATGGGTACAATGTGTGTAGCCCATTTCTGGTGTCCCCCGCCGTGATATTGCTGGAATATTTCTAAGAGCGGCGTAAAGTCTGCTTACGCGACTGTTAGAACGTCACGTGGACACTGAGATTTATGTAACGTCACTTACATGTTACATGTCATATATGATCCGGTTTGCACATTGAGCTATATGCCCTCACTCACACACACACACACACACACACATATATATGATACGTACCGGAAATTCGGTATATATTTATATAACTTGTATATATAAACTATATATCACAGATATATGTATATTGTATCATATACGAGCTGATCCTGTCGCCCATCGCCCTTCGATCCGTTTCTGTACCACCAAACCCGTAACATCCGTACGCCCTGACACATTCCTCAAATTAAAATTAGAGTTTTTACTTCACGTTTCAGCGATCCACTGTACCCCCTTTACGTATGCTGACCATGGTCGTCTCCAATGCACCAAGAGGGACATGTCAGGATCGGAGTGCACCGTGTACTGTGACGACGGCTACACCGTTGACGGTTCTAACCCCATCAAGTGTGAAGAAGGGGACTGGTCTCATCCAGAACCAAGGTGTAAAGGTATGGATATTTCTGTGAATATTCTTATCATTACTCGTCATTGGATCAAGCTATCTGAGCCTCGAGTCACCATCCTGTAAATAACATTAGAAGCAGGTAGGCCTGTAGGTTCGTTTACCAAACATTTACCTAGAGACAGTCAAACACCAGTGTGTGGAACACTGGTGTGTCGAGCCTTGCATAACTCAAAGCATCTTTATAGACCCTTTATCAGAGATAAAAAAGGTGTTTGGCTGTATTGGACATTGAAATTATACAATTTGCCTGGATCTTCCATGTGCGGTGCGTCAGTTAGCCCATAATGTTCACTGGAGCTCTGGCCAATAAGTCTGCTTTGTTTATATGCCACACAACAAACCGACTGTAAGTGGCGGACGCTACTAAGAGGGCAGCTTGTGTACCCTTTTCGCAAACACCTGGTGTTTTTGCTGATCAAGTTATATGCATAGGATAGTTACAGCTGTCATGGTTAATACACCTAGTACATCGGTATTATGTTGTTGCTGTTGACCTGGCTTGTATCTTTACACTACAAGTGTCGCCTGTCTTCCCGCTTTTCACAGCTGTTTCCTGTGGTACACCGCCAAGTGTGGCAAACGGGCAGCTGACGTGTCTGGGGGGGACGTCGTGTACGGCACGTACTGCTTGATGACCTGCGACAGGGGCTATCAAGCACGAGGGATGATGATGAGCACATGTCTGGCAACAGGGCAATGGACCCCGCCCGGAACCTGCGCAGGTATGTATAATTTGCTGCCACGCTGCCAAATGGCTTTTCCGGGATCCGCAAAGTCCAGGTTCGAATCTCAGATTCGTCCGGATTATCATGGTGTCAGTGTAATTCACTTTGTAGCTTACCCTTTTCCACGACCTGCTTTTCTGTGACTGAAGTAAAACTACGTTTACATGCGTTAAACCAGTTTAATGGTCTTACTATCCTTCCAAACGGATTATCTTTGAGAAATGTAATACAACGGCGACGTCTTGTATCTGTTATGAAATTGTTGGCAGTATCCACGACCACTCTGTAGATCTATAAGTAGGTTGAAGATGACGATGCACCACACGACCTGTAAAGATCTGGGTTAGAATTGGTCTTCAGCAACCGATGCTTGTCATGACTCTGCAGTGTTGAGGTGTTTGCAGTGGGTTGGGTGTAATAAGGGATATGGGAAATTAGCTCACCTAGTAATCAGTTATTTCTTTAAAACCTGAAGATTTATTCACAGGTGAATTCAATGGCCGCGATAATACAATACAAAAAACATATATTGAATAAATAGAATTGAAGGGAGAGCACCCCGACTGGAACTTTGTACCTTCATCTCTGTTGCAGATATCAGTCCACCATCATTCACTAATGGCTGCCCCGATGACGCTGAAGATTATTCTGAAAAGAAGGGCGGGGGGAAAGGTAGTCACGTGGGACGAACCAGTTGTCAAGGACAGTTCAGAGGTCACAATCACAGGAAGTCACCAATCAGGAGCGGTCTTTGAATTGGGCGAGACGAAGGTGACACTAACCGCCACAGATTCTGAAGGGAATACAGCTCAGTGTTCATTTAAAGTCACCATCAATGGTAAGTATGCCAAGTTGGACAACTATAAGGGCATAGAAGTGTCTGCAAGGAATTAGAATTAACGTTCATGAAGTTTCAAATGTTAAGATTTACGAGCCCTTGCATTTGAAGAAGTAACTTTCCATTCACACATTTGAAAAACTAGGGAAAGATTACTAGCATATCACAAGCATTGACACATTTGGAAAGTTGTGAAAATGTCTCTACAGTTATTAGGAGTTTTTAAGATGTGATCTTTGTTAAGATCTTTAAAATCTGTGCAACCCTTAACCCTAAAAATACGGGAGGCATAGGTTGACAGATCATTCTGTCCATGTTCTTTCCAAAGCATTTAAATGATTTCCTTCCAATATGGTGGGATACCAAACGGGTGGCGGGGTAGTCAAGTGGTTAAGGCGTTCCATTCCTCACATAGGTATAATGTCTCAAGTCCATTTCTGGTGTCCCGAGCCATAATACTGCTGTAACATTGCTAAAAGCAGCGAAGACCTAAACTCACCCACCCTGGATGCCATGGCCCATAGAAAAATCATGTTTACTGGGGTGTTTATATAGATATCCTTGTGTTCAGGTCTGTACTGTCAGGAACCAGATCTCCAGGATCCCATCGACAAGTTGAAGTACGATTGTCCTGACGGCCACGGCCACGGCTTCATCTGCTCTCTCTCCTGCAACTCAGGCTACCCCTTGCAGGGACCCGACTCCATCCTCTGTCAGAAAGACGCCAACGTCTTCCCCCCAACGGCATCGTGGACGTGGGCCTCGGATGCATTTAAGCCCTTTTGCAGAAGTAAGGATTTCAGAAATTATTTTTCGGGTAGTTTCTACTTTGCATACGAATTGGTGTGTGTGTCCAGTAAGAAAATGTCATCTCATTCCTGTAAGATGTTTCCGAGCGTTGCTAGGGGTGTCATATGGGAACTGTGTCAGCCACTGGCAAACCATCCACGCTTAGTGGCGGGTGCTAAAGGAAGATGCTGCTGCAGGTGAAGATTGCATCCACCTTTATCATTCATCTTCCGAATCAGCGTGCATGTAGCTGTGCAGGTCTTGACTTCGTCACTGTGCACACTACCTTACGCTTTTATCTGTAATCATTGAACCTCTCTTGTAGGTAAGGGCTGTCAATCTGAAGCATATCTTTAATAACGGTTGGGTCTTCCCTCTAAATTACGGTTGAGTCTTCCCTCTCTTTCCAGGGTTAAATACACTGGGCAATTCTACACATTCTACAATTCCCGCTTTTGTTTAGTAACTCAACCAAGATGGCAATAGGGTGTAGTTTCTGTTAGATGAATCATTCAAACTGACACGTCCCGGACATTCCGTGATATATACTACACATCAAAGGTTTAGACTCGCTTAAATCAATCACTATATGTTATGTATGTACATATGGTTACAACGAAGATGAATTTCTCCACTAACTTGGGGGAAACATCTGAAAACCTTATGCAGATTCATTGCACGAGGATCATGCATCAAATTGCTGAAAAGCATGTGCAAATATCGTGCATGTGAACAGCTGCGTTTTGGTGTAAAGTTTTGATAAAAAGAATTCCATTTTTCACCGAGTTTCGTCATTTATTGAACACATGTCAATAAACTTTTCAAAGTCATGAATTTGTTTTACAATACATCAGCTCATATATAAACAGTACTTTTAAACTGTATGGATTACTTTACAAACTCTAGTTCAGAACAGTTGATTGAAGTAAGTGGCTACACTTACACTAGTGAGTCTAAACCTTTGATGGGGAGTATATGTAAAAACACTGATTAAAGTATTGCGGCAGATCTGTATTGTCAGATATGTATGAAAAGCAGGTGGTGAAGTATGGTTGGTGTCATATTGTTGTCAGAAACCGTGTGTGCCGACCTGCCGGTCCCTAAAAATGGAGCTCTCGTCTATGACGCCTGGGGTTCTGGTGGCAGGATGTGCACCATGCTGTGTAACGAGGCATACGATGTGACGAGGGGTGTCCCAGACATATACGTCTGTGGAGAACAAACTGGGCAATGGTTTCCAAGCGACGACGTCCTGGACTGTACAGGTTAGCTTGCTGGTATTGTATATTGTTGTGATTCGTGTGTGCCCAGTTTTCCCAAAGAATACTTTGACAGGCATCAAGAACATGACACCTCTTATGGGAATCAACGCATTTGTCTGTAATTGTTTCAAGGCTACGGCTGGTCCATTAGATTTGTCCATTAAAGTAATGTAATACAAATCATCATGCATGATAATTTAGATATTTCAAATCAATATGTACTCGATGGAGGAGAAAGATGTCGCCCTGAAACTAAGTACAAAGTTGCAAAGTTTAATATCTACATAGTACCTTCGTTTATCATCTACGTCCAACGTGTTAGTGTCTCCTGGCAGTGTGATTCAGCCTAGCCTAGATTTTTATGAATATTTATTGTGTATTTATTTAATGACTATTGAATATTTGGTGAATATATTGTTACAATCAGGGCAGTTTAGAACGCAACAACTAATTCTGTGTTTTGGAATCACTATCCAATAGTAATACTACTTGATGGTCATGAAAGGATGAACGTATCCTGATTCGCCATGAGCATCCGTCACAAACACATGCAAAGGCTACTCAACTGCCAAAGATACTTAGGAACGAATTATACAAGTCCAATTCAGGAAGTTATGATCATAAACCATTTTTGATTATAACGTGTTAGTGTCCTTTTTAATTATTGTCTCTTTTATGGTCTAACAGCAGAAAATGTCCACATCATCTATGCCCATCTTAAGATAAAAGTACAACTTATCCTACTTCTGATCCATGTAATGTGACCACTGATCGCTGATTGTTTGTTTTTTAATTAAATGCCATACTGAATTATCTTCAGAAAAGCGAAATCCACGCAACATGAAGCTTGCCAGTGAATTTTACTACTACTCCGGATCCTGTCCTGACAACAACACCCAGCTTGCCATCGCACAACAGTTCGTCAACATCATCAACACGAGCAGCGCTTTCAGCCATACATGTTTAGCGGCATTTCCAGTATGTCATGCGGAATATGTCGATATACAATGTGGTGAAGTAGGTAGAAGAAGGAAGCGCTCTGTAGAAGGATCTGTCACAGAGATTGTCCATCCCAAAGTCAAACGATCAACAGTTCCTACGGTCATAACGTTTGTTATTACAGTGCCCTTTGATATAGGTTCCAATGAAAATGCTGAGGCTGCAAGAACAAGGTCGGAGAAAGGTTTCGACAATGTCATAGGTTCCATTGACCAAATGCTTGACAATGGAGACCTCAGTATGTCCCAGTATGGACTGAACACTCAAGAAGACTCCTTCTATGCAGGAAACGCGGCGCTTGACTGTCCTTTTGGAACTAAAGAAAACTACGAACACATTTCATGCTGTGAGGTTGCATTCTGTATCTCTATCGTTAGGGACACAATCTCCTATACTTAAACCTTATAATATGCAAAACTATGTTTTTACTGTTCTGCTTTGACGCAATCCCATTAAAGAAAAGCGGCAATATCCTTTCCTCATCCCTAAGTAATCTGAAGGGTTCGAAACACCCCCCACAAACCTTACACCCCCCACCCCGACCCCCCCGCTTTTTTGTTTTTTTGTTGAAATTGACTAAAGGCCACATTGAAGTTAATGTTTATTAAAGTTAAAGGGGCGTTCAGGGAAAATTCCTGGACCCGTCCATGAATCTCTGCCAGAAGTACAATTCCGACTAAATCGTGACCATGTGTTTATCAGTCAGATTATGTTCGTTTGCCCTACATTTGTTTAATCAAGAAAATGTTTGCTTCTAATGGCACGAGTATACATGGCATGAGCATCAACCCATTTGTAGCAGCATTCAGGCCGTAAAGAAACCATGCTCGTAAGGGCGACTAACGGGAACAGGTGGTCAGGCTCGCTCACCAGGTTAACACATGTCATCGTATCCCAATTGTGTAGCTCGATGATCAAGCTGTTGATCACTTGATTGTCTGGTCCAGACCGCTACCATATAGCTGTAATATTGCTGAGTGCGGCGTTAAACAACAAACAAACTTAACAGAAGCAATCACATTTCTTTTCAGCCGGATGTCCCACAGGGACGTATGTAGACCCGGCCTCTGGAGACTGCGTGTCCTGTCCCGTTGGCAGCTATGCTGATGAAGGCTTTTCGGATTCCTGTAAACAGTGTGGCGAGGGGAAGTCGACCAGATCTACCGCATCAAGATCTGTGAACGATTGTATCGGTGAGATGTACAGCTACTAACATGTCGTAGTCTCGCTGATGTTTGTTCTTGATACATGTCTGGGGATAGTCAAGGCTATTAATGAAGACGTTTTGTAAACATAATGTCATATTTAGTTTTAATGATGTAATGCCACTGTACAAAGCGTAAACATGTAAGCAAAGGATTATTATGACATTAAACGGAAAGCTATTACAATTCGAATGAGAACCATCACCAATAACTAATGTGTAAACTCGGCCATTAATGCAACATGACATGGTGTTTATAGATACCTGTACAAAAGGCTCCTTCTCATTGGACGGCATGGCACCCTGCACGCCATGTTCCCCTGGGACGTATCAAAATGGTGAAGGGAAGACGTCGTGCACGTCGTGTCCGACCGGTACTACATCACCGCAAGGATCTCAAGACGCCAGTGCCTGTGTTGGTACGTTTGTTGTTTTGGACGCAGATCCGGAACTCCGAAATGCGAAAACTGAAATGAACACTGTATACATTATCTCTCTAGCCCAAAGTGATGCAGGTCTTAGACCTTTAACATTTCTATACAATCCACGAATTAACGAAGTCTTGAATGAAATAATTATTTATCCATCGTTCTTCGTTCTTATTGTTATAATAATATGTGTGGTAGTATAAGATTGATTGAATAATGAACACAGCTTGTATGAAACAATGCAAAATGAGTACAGTTCACACATTTTGGCCTTTACAACTTCGACTACCACAAATGTTGAGAAACAAATATTCTTGACCAGGCCCATTCTTTGTTTCAACATAACAGCACATTATTAAATGCCACTCACGTATCAGCAGATTGAAGTTACAAAGAATGACAGTCATTTCTTGCTGGGGAAATGTTATACTTCGGACTGGTGCTGGTAAACAAATAATATTATTCAGAATGAAACATTCCATCATCATATACTGACAAAGGGAAGGGACTCGTGTGTCCAGGGTGGTAGTGACGTGCTACAGAGAGGCATGTGAGGTCACACGAAAACATATTCTCTTACAGTATACGTCAGAAGGGCGTCATATGACTTTGTTTTCTATTCAGCTTTTGACTTAAAGGTTCGTGCTAACAAGGAGGCTGTGTTCGGTAATATCAGCTCGGACCTGAGCGCCCTGACCATGTATTTCTGGAGCCGCTCGGACACAAGCCTTGGACACACTCTGACACGCATTACCGACACTGACGGCAACACCGTCGTCGAGCTCTCCGTCACCAACAGCGTATCTCTGAATATACAAGGGTAGGTATCTTTACATCATTGTCATTGTAAACATTTCATGTTTTCTTTTCTAAATGAGTGGATTGCTGAAAGATACACTCACTTTGTATTTTGGTTTAAATATGTGGCAGTCATATATCTGCTTTGAACAACAACAACAACAACACGTATTTAGAAACGGTCTTTATTCAAAATAGAAACCTCCTAGATACAGGTGTAAACCCTGCAACAAGCTACTGGCAACATCTGACCTTGACCTTAGATGGCAGCAACAAGGACCTGGCTCTCTACCTGAATGGAAACCCGATTTACTCCGATAACATTGCGTCGCTAACAACCCCTATTGTTCCACGTGACAGCGAGGTTGCCATTGTATCAGGAAATGGAGGTATTAACATAGAAAACCTTGTGTAATTTGCCGAAAACATTTTATCTGAAGTTAGCTATGTGTGTACCACATGCAGACGATAAGAGAATGTGGTTCTGGTAATATTTGAAATACTGGATTCATGTTTTATAGATATCGTCAGTGTAACAGAACGTATACTCAAACACCATTTTGTGGAACTTTGATATATCGAAAGTACGGTTGTCTCGAAGTAAAAGCTTGGTCCTTCTTCCTTATTTAGTCAATCCTTATTCCTCAATCGAATCGCTAAATATTTGCGTAGGTCCCTTCAATACAACGATGTTTGGTGGTATTTTTACTCTAGATATTACCTTGAGCGCCATCAACATTATTGAGAGAGTTGCGTCCCTTGGTGAAATACAGGCTCAGACAACTTCCTGTGTGTCCATACTACAAGATTCAGCGTTCACATTCATAAAGAATGGCAGCAGCCTCATTGTACCAAGTCAATGTGATGGTGGGTTTAAAAATCAATTCTTCGTATTCCTCTTATTCTGATATTCGATGACGTATAGTCATTTACTTATCGTGCTATGATACAACCATGGGCTTCAGATAAGATTGAAGCAGCAGTCAGAAAGAGTTATGTGCCCTTACATGTCAAATGTCAATTACTATTGTGGTCGTATGAACGCTCATACAAAACCCAAACTACGTTTTTCATGATACATTACAGTACATTTCAATTAATTTATTCGAGAAACTATTTGTCACAAGGGTAATGTTGCCATCGCCATATTATTGCAAAGTGAACTCTTCTTCCACTTGACTATTTTGGTGCACTCATATTACTAGTTTTACTTTGGAGAGTTACAACTTGCATTGATATGTACGTTATTTCCATCATTTCCTTTTGGTGCGCTAATGAGCCACCAGACACCATTCGTTGGGATTCGAACACGGGTCTTCGGTGTTACAAGCGAACGCCTTAACCATTAGCCTACACCACCGCCAATACGTTTTGGCGAGATATGTACAACAGCACGACTATCTGTTGCAGCTGTTGATGGCTGTCTTACCAACCCTTGTGGCTCCAACCCCTGCAAGGACGAGCTGGAAGGATTTACATGTGACTGTCAAGATGGCTGGACAGGGGACACGTGTAGCATCCCACCAGACTACTGCGCACATGGCGAGTGTCAGAACAGCGCCATCTGTGAAAACGGAAACGGAAATTACACGTGCAAGTGCCTGAAGGGTTTCAAGGGGCAACTGTGTCAAGAGCTTGTAGGTGTGTTTCAACTTGGAAATGTGCAGTACATTCCAGTTACAAATTCCCAAATCCCAAATCCCATAGCACGCACAGGGATATGTGCTACTGTACGACTGGGTATACAGTATAAACATGTGCCATGGAATATATTTTGTTACTATCAGGTCATATAACCATCAATGTCATGTAACTATCAACTGAAAATGCCTTTTTTAGGAGAAATCAACTGTAATGAGATATTCGTGTCTTCAAATGCTCTGTACAAGAGTGAGTGAGTTATTTTTTATCGTCACATCGGCAATATTTCATCCATATCGTGACGAGAATAACAAAGTATTGTATTACAGAACAATAAAACTAGAAAGTAAAAGTTTCTTGACGAAGAACAGTAAAACTACCAGTGTATCACAGATTCAAAAAAGGAAAACTAGCATGTTGTCTTAAAACGGTATTTTTAAAGAGAGCAAATACAATATATAATCAGGCTATAGATTGCCAACAACTGAAGGTAAATCACCACACACGAGACCATTGGGACTTAGTTCTGTACAAGAATGAGAATCATAAATGTTCAAGCATGCCGCAGTAACATCTCTGAAATTTCTTATTGAAGTCAATGGCAACTGGGGAGAATGGTCAAAGATGACAGAGTGTTCAGTGTCTTGTGGAGGCGGAACCAGATCACGAAGTCGTCGTTGTGACAGCCCGCCACCTGACGAGGGTGGTGACGCTTGTGATGGCGTTTCTGAAGAGACACAACAATGTAATATAGACGCCTGCCCAGGTAACTAGCCGATGTGCACTCAAGATCTAATTTACTGGCAGATACTAACAGGTACAATTTAGCTGTTGTAATCGTTGACCAAAAGTCACATTTCAGGGTGTGTTTGTGTTAGAAGCTGTATATCATAGCATATCATAACAGTTTCGTGAAAAGTAACAAGATACAAGTCAGTTTGCATGATGCTTCAGTTTATTGTTATATTTTAACTTAGAGTGCCCAACACTGCGTCTGTCCACTGGAAATGTGAAGAACTGTACAGAGTCTGAGGGCTACACCAGATGCACTATCACATGCCGAGGGGATATGGTGTTCTCCCAGAAACCGTTACCTGTGTATGAGTGTGGTTCTGGCAGTAACTATGTGTGGAACCACCAGGAACACAAGAGTAACGCCAGACCTCCTGCTTGTCGACGTGAGTTGATTCCATATTTACTTGTGTATGTATCTACCACTGGTGTCACTAACTGTGACGTCAAAGACATTGGGCTGTAATCTATTCAAGAGTCGTCACTCATGGTCAGTCTGAATACCGACGGTCCTTAGTTTGCTGTTGTTTACTGGCCAATCGGTTGATAGTCGATGGATGGAAACAAACACTGCTTGCAATAGCCTTCAGTGACATGACAGCATTTTGCATCTTTGAGCTGTTGTCAGTTCAGGAGACCCCATATTTGCTTATAAACAACGAAATCAGTTGACTTTCCAAGTTATCGAACTGTAAGAACAGTGTACTGAGACTTGATATGTTCTTAATGGCGGGTACATGAAAAGCACGTGAAGCTCTCCATTGATCGTAGAACATGCATATCTAAAATTAATGTATGGTGAATGAACACGTCCAGTTGGTTCAAAAGCTTCTTTTTTTGTGTGTGAACAGATCAGTCTGCAGACATATTATAAGTCATCAATTTCAGTGATCCTCTCATATAACATTCAAGGCCATTTTATCTTTCTTGGGCAGCAGAATATGTTAAGAATCCAGACTGCTTATTTACGTCGCAATTGTCCATCTATATAACGGCGGGGGATCCAAAACTGAGTTTCCTCCATTATACCCAAGAATGGAATGGCTCCTGGGCGTTCGACGGAATAATCAAATTCCATATCCGTTCGGCTGCCGTTCTTAATTGTACGTTCAAGCATTTTGCCGCGAAATCTTGGCAACTTTATCTTCTAACCTTGTTACATATTTATCGTTTGATGATTAAATCCATTTCATGACGTTAATGATTTTTCATCTCATATTTAGCTGCTGAGGGAGCCACCCGTTACGACGTGACCCACACCGTCACATACCCAGACTTCCCATGTACCTCTGGTAATGGTCGATCCGATGAAATCAAGTCCCAAGTTTCTGACAGTGTGAAAGACTTGACCTGCCTCCAGGAGAACATATGTACAGCGTCGGTTGAAATCAACAGCTGCAATGGGGATGGAGTGAGCAAGAGGTCAACAACACCCACCGTTGTATCCGTTCTCATTTCCACCATCATGGGCAGCACGGAATCTCTTGATCTCACCGAGTTTGTTGAAAATAACATTGGTAAATGTTACGTTGAATCTGTCCACATTGGTAGAACATATTTAGATGTTAAGCAATCTATAAAATATCCCCAATCAATCTGTTTGAGTAATCGCTTGAAAACGGTGGCAATACGTTTCTCTATTATAAGGTAATTTTGTTATAATGCCATTTAGCTAAATGTCGTTAAAGCAACATATTTTCTGGACAACACCTGAAACACGTTTTGATGTATATTCTTACACCGTTATCACATGTTTGATAATGTTCAAGGAATCTACATAGAAACACGACTTGGAGAGAAATAACAGGACGTTGTTATCAATACATTTCCACATCTATTGGCCGGCTTCCAGAATCCTAATCAAACAATTACCTATGTTTAATTATGTTTCACAGTAACTACAGGCCTTACAAACTACCTGAACAAACTGATGAAGACCGAACTTTCTATCCAGTCACTTGTCAACAGCAGTAAAACACTATTGACACTGAGCATAGATGGCGCCACCTATCTGGTAGATACAGATTCAATGTCCACCACGACAGTGACCACCTGTCCTTCTGGAACAACGCCCACAGAGGGTGTCTGTGGTCAGTTCACGGCGGTCAACTTCATTCCATCGCACAATATATTTGCCTGTAGCACATTTCCTTCCTTTCATTGGAAAAAAACTAGAGCTGTGAATTTGTAAATTCATTTCTTTGTATGTTATTCAAGTTACTTTAAAAGAATTAACTGATTTTATAGTTTCATACCATTCTTAAAAGAATAAAGTCCAATACTTTGGCAACGTGTTCGAATTATCATATCTTTCAACAAGCAAAATGTCGTGCAAAAACGTCATGCTTTGAAATCTTAGAATTGTCAGTCTTGCAATATTCTCTCATTTGTCCAGGACAATGCCCCGCGGGTTCAAAGGAGGTAAACGGCAAGTGTGAGTTGTGCGAGAAAGGCACTTATCAACACGAAACAGCTAGCACTTCCTGCCTGATGTGCCCGTCAGGAACGACAACTCCTGGAGTGGGCGCGGATGATGTCAGCCAGTGCATAGGTAGTGTTTTCATAGTCTCTCTCGAATTCAACGATGTAATATCGCTGTTTGTCTATAAAACCTTAACAAAGTTAGGAAAGAGGTCTTACGATTTTGACAGTTTTGAAACAAATGTATTTGTTATAATACTATATAATTATCCATAGTACCAAGTTACTAACATAATTTTAACTTCCAGGTCGCTACCTCCTGCAGTATCACCATACGTTCACCATAAATGCACTTAAAACGATTACTGATCAAAAGTTCAATATCATGGTATCATATATTTATCATTTGACACTTGGGATAAGAATGAAATTTTCCAGCTCCACAGTGTCAGTATTTAAATAGGTAAATGACATTTTATATAAATGTTGTTCATAAGGATGTGTTTGTGTTGTTTGCTTGTATGCGTGTCTGTGCGTGCATGCGTGTGTATGTGTGAGTGTGTGCCTCTGTGTGTGCCCCCCTCATTCTCTCTCTCTCTCTCTCTCTCTGTCTGTGTGTGTGTGTGTGTGTGTGTGTGTGTGTGTGTGTGTGTTGTGTGTTCCCACGTTCATCATCGCTATACAACAGCTTTTCTCAGCATCTCAGCTTTAATCTACAAATGTGCCGCTAACGCCATTGCTTGTATCACTCAAGTGTGAGGAAATATCTGATGGAACTGATGTATGTGGCACAAGTCAGAACATTTATTACACAACAGTCTCGGTTCCGTCCTATTGCGCAACTTAGTACAATAACCAGTCCAGAATTTTGAGACCAATTCATTTAACTGGATACATACATATTAATCAGTATTATTTGATACATCTAAGCACATGTATGTTGCAACACTACGCTCCTTTTAATCTTTGCAAACATGTCGTACAGCGTGCTCTGTCGTACAGCGAGCTCTGACAAACGGAAACGTGGAAATCTCAAAACGAGGCTCTGCCGCTAGAATAGTTTGGCGGTCTGGTATGGAACTGATGGTATATCAATCACATTGTGTGTTACAGAACTACTCTGAATATGCGTAAAAACACATAACAGGTGTAACCAGTGAGCCAGATGCATTGTGAATCATTTTACGTCCTCATAAAACAGGGGCAGTCTGTGACGTCTTAGTTATGGTCATGCTGCCAACCTCTCGCCATAAAATATAGAAATACGATGTTATTAAAGTTTAGAATTAAAATTCATTTGTAAATACCATTTTCTGAAGAAACAAGGAATTGGAATTCAGTGTAACCATAGTTGTTTGTAATGTCTATTTTCTCTTTCACACGAGAAAATTCGGATCGGCTAAAAAGTAGGTCATTGTCTGAATAGGTTAATGAGACTCATGTTTCGGTTTGTGATGCATGTAAACGTTTCACTTTCAACACATAACTAATCATTTACTTAACATATGCATGTACTGTCCATCTTACGTCATTTACACGTTAGTATAAAACGCTTTAAGCTTTAACATTGATCCTTTTATGATCTTCATGGATCACATACACTTAAATTTTGTGTACACTTTTACGGGCTATATTCACTCACTCACACAATCAATCACTTACTCGCTTACTCATTATATCATCAGATGTGGCTGTCAAATACGCAGTGTGACTGAAACTATTAAAGAATGCTTATAGTCAAATCTTTACATAAATCAGTATATGTAAATGCAATCATTGGTCCAAATGCACACTTAGATGAGTATATATATTTGATTTGTTCAATTGATAATGTTAAAACAATTTTCATATATTAATGCAGTGACTATTATTATTGATATTACAAACTGGGTGGCATTTAAACCATTAGCTGTAATATTTCTTCAATTTCGAAACAGATTCAGATGAGAAGAATGAGAAGGACCCGAAAGAAGAGCATGGTAAGTGTGCAAGAAAGGGGGTTTATGAAACATTCTAAACATAGTGCATTTGAATATATTTGGCGTCTGGGGGATAACTCCTAGAAACATATTGTATAGACACAACAAACCAGCTCCCTCTTGTAGTATATTTAGTTCATAGTTAACATAAATATAATATACATATATATGTGCAGAATGTGTTTCGGCAGATAATAGAGATAACAGGTTATGTTCTGCCGTTGACATTGTATATTTATGTATATTATAACATGAATGGTAATTCTGTTATATCAACAAACAACGAAATCTCTACTATTGAATTCCTACTGAAGTGGTGAATAATTGTATAAAATCGGGAATTCTGTAGTCAGTCTCGCTGACGTGATTGACGCATGTCATCGTATCTGAATTGCGTAGATCGATGATCCTGATTTGAATCACAGGATTGTCTGGTCCGGATTCAATCATTTTCAGACCGCGATGAAATAGCTGTATAACTGCTGAATGCGGCGTTAAGCACCAAACATGCAAAAAGTGTAAAACAGAGACAAACACGCGACTTTGTTTGGGGAACCAGAAAGTGTTTTGAGAAGTATACAAAATACCCAATATACAAATTACCAATATGAAGACTGCAACGTACTCATAACTTGCAATTTTAACCGCTCTAAAATCATCAATGTTTAACCTTCGTGGAAATAACCTTCTTCCAGGATTTAAGTACTTCTCATGTTTCGCTTCCAGATCATTTTGAGGCTTTCTTTGCATTTCGTCACATGGAAGCTGATTACAATGGCAGTCATGTTTGTATGCGTACATGGACATCCAAATAAACATATTTACCAAAGATACCTGTATTTATTTTGGTGTCATTAGATTCATATTGGGAGTTGTGTGTGGAAACTCATTCGATCTTTGTGCCACTCAAAGGAGATCTTTGTGTTTTCAGCATTTTATATAAGTCAATTTTCCCCTCACCAATGGTAGTTTATTCACGTCCGTGTGAATAGCAAGTTATTCCTTTCTGGACCAACGTACCTTTTGACATCATTGGGGTTACTGATCATGACACCTAATGTTAATAGTTGGCAGACTCTAAACTTAATACGATTTCAAGCGATCACAAAATGATCAATAGCTTAGGCTTCCACTGGTCGAATTCACCCACCGTATTGGCGCAAATTCTGCGAGCGGAGCTGAATGTGTGTTCTCTGGAGTCCTGTCATTCATTTCATCCATCATGGCAGCTCCAGTGGATATTAAGGGAGGATCCATCACATTTTTCTGGGCATAGGGATGACCTTCAGTGGACTCACTGATGGTTATGTTCACAAGGTGTGTATCGATTCTCTGGGGTCCTGCCATGTATTTCATCCAACGGTTTCAAGAATTTCAAATAATGACCCATCCAATCCTTCTTGGTATTAGTACTGCTCTCAACGGGAATACTCGAGCTCTTAAATGGTTTAGTTTCTTGTCGGACGCTCCTGATCTGTCTCTGGAATCTTTGTCTCAACTGGTTCTTAATCATTCGTCTTTTGGTGGTCATCACAAACATCAAATAACGTTCCTTCACCACTTCCTTCTGGTCTTGGGGATTACTTACAATGGTTATACAGCTATCCTGGACCGTTGACACATTTAACAAAGCTTCCTTTGCGGTTTACCGGAATCACATTAGCGGGGCACTATCCTGAAATCTGGATGAGGTGTTTGACTTTGAATGGCTCTTAAGTTTTATTTGACCTGTGAATATGATGGTTAATAATTACTGATTGTAATAAGTTATAACCAAACCGTCATTAATTAAAACGCTTTAACTTCCTATGTTGTAGTCTCCGAGCGTCTTCGTGACTAACGTCTACTAAATGCTCTATCTAAACTGTCTAAACTAAGTATTTGTACATTCTTGCTTACATGTATATTGTAATATATTAGAAACGTGTGGATTGGGACGTTTTGGAATAAACGCTCAGTAGAAGAAGAGTTATCTTAGCCTCTCCTCACACAATCAACGTGTTTGATCAAATAGTTCCTGTAACATGCATACCAAGATATATTACTCATAAATCCAGGACATATTAATCACAATCCCAAGATATTTGAGTCAAGTGCACAGTTTTAGTTACCTGCATCTGCACTGTGTGGCCTAATAAACAATGTAGCTGTTTAATAATGTTTACAGAACCTCAGTCGAAGACAACAGCCATAGTCTTGGGCTGTCTCGGTGCTGCCTGCTTCATCGTTGTTGGTGTTATCGTTGTGGCGATGAAGAAGGGCAACTGCAAAATCACGAACAGGTAAGAACAATGTTAATTATTTCAAATACGCGTTCTATTACAATTTTCCGTACCAACATAAGGGCCTGGAAGTCTTTGAGAATGAATTAAGGGCACATAATGAAGTTAACCCTGTATTTTAGTTTTAATTTTACGCCACAATTATATTTGTGGCGTCATTCTTTTGTTTTAGTGCTCTATTATTTATAGGGAATGGAGAGTAGAAGAAGAAGTGTTCATTCACTTGAAGCCCATGATACACTGTTTGTGCTCAATATCTTGGGCTGAAACAATAAATACAGGAATGATGCCATCCAACCCAGAAGATGTGCCAAACTTCTACCGTTCAAGACTTCCTTCTCTGTTATGGATGAATCCAAGATGTTATCAAACAGTATCATCATTTTGGGTGTTAAACGTATTAAATGAATCGTTCACAGTGCCATTACAAATTATGAAAATGATTAAGCCAATGATCTGAAGATATAAATGGTGGCTTTTTAACGTCAAATTTGACATTCTTCAACGTCCTCTAGAATAACTTCGCATTGTTTATATTGGGTGATAGGTTATAGCTCATGTGTCCCATATGTGATGTCTCTTTTTGTCACGAATGATAGTATTATACTTATTCCCAGCGTTAACAAAGTTCTGACGTGACACATTTTCCCTTAATCGCCGAAATGTCTTCAGCAATCTATCTCTTTCCATGCCATAATAAACAGTCAGAGTCAACACATGGTTGAGAATTAACAGCACGTCTGACTTCTGTTCATGTTCTTGGCTGATTTAAGTATAGCAGAAGTAGCAGAAGTAAATAGGCCGACAGCAGTGTAGTTATTGCCGTGCATGTATTACACGCTGTGTACATGTTATGCAGTTATGGACAACAGCGTGAGTCACTTAATGAGGGGCCGCTACTCACCGATTATTATTTTTGAATATGTTTTCGCAATAATTTTGAAACTTCTACAATGGTATGTAGGAAATGTATCATGACATGTTTCACATAGTCACTCAAAATCTAATTTAAGTAGGGAAATATCCGCGTAATTCCTCGAATGTACTGTAGTTCCTTGGCTCCATTATTTTGGACGAATTGAGATTAAATCAGACATTACTCTCTATTGAAAGGCCAACTGGGAAGTATAACGGTCACCAACTTAATACATCAATTGTACGAGGTTTGACCGGTACTTCCAGTGTTTCAGGAATTCGGCAGGGACTTCTGTTGTTCTCACAAGGAGATTTCATCACAACCGTTTCCGAAATAAACTTGTCTTGAATGAATTTATGGGAATTTGAATTTCTTTACTTTTGAAATATATTATTCACGCTGTTTATCTACTTTCAGACCATCAAGACCATCCACTGCTGGATCGTTCTACAAGATGTCCCATCATCGTGTGTCGGTAGCTTCCCTCCCGCCGCCCTACTCTAAGAGACCCTCCACTCAATTGAATGAACTGAAATTTATTACCACTCCGGCCACGCTCTTTGACATTAACGGTACAAGTTCCACTCCGCCACCCACAGCTCCGCCACCCTACAGTACAAATATGACCCCTACATCGAAGCTCAGTTTAATCGAAGTAAAGGAAGTCCCAGCAGAGAAAGCGCCAATAGATCCTTCCGTCAACAATTGAAATGCAACCTATGATGAATCGAACCTACGGTCAATAGATTCTTCCGTCGACAATTGAAACGCAATTCCAATAAACATTCTAACACAGCTATGAACCTATTATGTATGTTGCTAGGTTCTAAAATGTTATAAGCTGCATTTAGTAATCAGGCACATGTGCGCCTTTGTCGTTCGATAATGACAAAATACCTCTTTAGACCACGAGGAACATGTTATTGAAACATGAAAGTTTACATATTTATAAAGATTATCAGGTTTATGTATCAGGAGTGTGTGCTCCTCTTTTGGTTCAGTCATTGATAGTCTAATACAATTCATATATATATATATATATTGTTACGTTCTGAGAGTATGTAGGAATAAGCTGATAAGCCTCACATTCTGTATTTTGAGTATATCTTCTCTTGTGTTCAACTGTATTTGTAAAACATGTTCTTTAGAGGTCAGGATGTTTCGTTTTTCGTTCTGTTCTGATAACCTATGTTAAATTGACCGTTCCGTCGATGTCCTCCAATTGCATGATTTCACTCATTTGACACGTACATGTCAGCGAAAAAAGGACATGTTTAAATATACACATGCAAATAATGGTTGTCACCCCCTTCAATTTTTTTAATTGGAGAGGGGGTGTGGGGGGTATGGGTGGTGAGGGCCGTGACAACCATTATTGGCATGAGTATATATGTGTACAGACACCACAGTTGTGATGGTCTTCCAAGACAAAACGACCTTATCCAGGATAAAAGTCTCAAGGAACTGTGCTGCATGTAAAGAAGACGTGTGCGATATAAGCATCATATCTGAAAGCGCACATAAAATCTCCAAATCATAATCAGACGGTCATCCGACACAAATAGGACAAATCCAGAATAAAAGTCACAAGGGGCTGTGCTGCATGTGAAGACATTTTATACACGTTAGATACTGCTAACATTTGACTATTCCTCACGCACAATTTTCAAAAGTTGTCTGTATGTCATGTTCTGTGAGTGGTTTCTGTCAGTCTGTCCTATGTTAAGCCTTTCCGAAATATTGCAGTGACTTTCAGAAATAAAGTATGGAAGCCTGTCTTGACGTATACATTCAAGCAGTTGGTTGACTGCTTTTGGGAATAGAATATCAAAATGTACCCTAACCTGTCAAAATGGCAATGGCAACTAGAAAATGAATGAAACTGAAAGACCTAAATATAAAATCAAAAGGTAAGATGCCATGTCATGGATGTTCATTATTTCCTGAAACCTTTATCTTTGCATACAAGATGTGTAATCATGGGAATGGGAATTTTACACAAGACGTAGTCATACTAAGGCCACCAATTGTCTTCCTCACCAATTGTCTCCTGTGCAACTATTGCTTGGAATTGGCAAAACAATCAAAACAATGGACATTAGCCATTCACAATATGATATCTTTCAAAACGGTCAAACAGACAGTTTCTTCCACTGGGCTACCGAATTGAACTAGATATTAATCTTTTCATATTGGATCAAAGCATATGAGATTCAGAATGGCAAGACGCACTTCCCACCGGGCTGTGTGGCAAAATAAAACAGACCTGTGCTGGTGTACTTCCTAAGGAAACTTAACAATCAGAGAACTGTCAGCTGTGATAGGACAGTTGAGTGCTAGTTCATCGAGGGTTAAGTTCGGACCAGTGTATTACAAACATTTAGAAATCACATAAAAAAATACCTGAAGTTACAATAGAGAAACTAAGGTGCTGTAGCAAAGTTAGACACTGATTGTGTGGATGATTTACAATGGATATTGTTTGCCTATGGCCTCAAGTCTTAGAACAACCTCAACCTCAGCTTGTAAAATCAGACGCTTTTAAACTCAGCTTTGGGAGGAGTAGTGAATGGGGTCAGTACTTCAACACATTGGTTCTTTGAGGAAAAAGCAGCGCAGATCAACTACCTCTGTGTAACAAAATTACCAGACAGATCTGGGAATGGTGCATTGACAAGCAGATATGGCCCTTTGCCTGTTGTACGTAATGTTTGACGACACAATCAGCAGTATAACAGCTGTAAGACACAGTCTGCAAACAATCGAGTCAGAAGTCAAAATAGGGATATGCATAGGATATCATGTCCGTCACAGGCCTTCCATAGGCTTTGAGTATTGTAAGCTTGATCGAACAACTTCTGAGTCATAAGAGTATGCTATATTGTACCTTAAAAAAATGTGAAAGGCTGGAGCTGTTTGAATAGTGCTCAAAGATGACTATTGGAAAGTCATCCCTTTTGCCATACAGCTTTCTGAGAGTGTTTACTCTGAATCTTTATGCCTAGATCTAAATATGAAACAGTTGAGGCTGTCTCACTTGTCTCCTTAATTTCAAGCTAAGGTTAGTAAATCAGTGGAAGTTAAACTTCTTGGCCAAATTACCTTGTTTTGATTTTGCCAACCCGTGCAGAAAACAGATCCACAAGGAGTGTAGCACAATGTCTACCACTGAATTGTACAAAGATGTTACTAATGGGGAAGGCCAGCATTTCAAATGGCATTTCCTGTAGCTTTTTACAAATTGTCCTCAACCTTTTAAAATAGATGTGTAGGTAATCTTTGTTCGCAACGCTTTTTACAAATGCACCATGCATCAGGGATGAAGTGTTTCCTTAAGTTTGTCAAGTGGGATAGTGGTGTACAACGTTGAAAAATCACTTGTTTTGATATAACTGAACTCGGTCTGTTTCTGAGATTGTAAAACTTCAAGCAAATCCTTTGCGTTGTTGAGAATCCACGTGCTGGCACGCATACCAAAGCTCTTTCATCAAACAATTTACCTTATGATGTCTACATATAAGGGCTACGTTACTTGAGGCATTGTAAGTGGAAACAACTCCAGACCTTCCATGGAGGGCAGGCAGACTTTGGATGGGTATAATCCAATTTTGTTTCTCTTTTTTTGACCAATGACTACGCATCTTTGACTTATAACACCCGGAGATACGTTGACATATTTGAGATGAAATGAAATGGGGTTAAACGTTGTACTTAAGAATATTTCGCTCATATGACGACGTGCATGCGTGTGTGTGGCTGCTTGTACTAGCCCAGACCTAAGCTGGTTTTATAGTGCTAGTGCATGAATATCCCACTCAGACACATTATACTGACTCCGAGCCGACCAGTCCTTGTTGTACCCATTACTGCCGAGAGCCAGGCAGGAACCAACAAGTACCATATTTTAACGTCTTTTGGTATGATGCAGCCAGGTATCGAACCCTCGACCTTCCGCTCTCCGGGCGGACGCTCTAGCCACTACGCCACGGAGGTGGTTGACATATTTGAACGTAACTGAAACCTATGACATGTATTGAATTCAATGTCTCTATAACCGTTCTACGCCAATGTAAATCTCAGAATATTGAAGATCAGAATATTTACATTAATATATGATAATAATGAAATACAGAGTTATCCTCAAAGCGTATGCTCACAACCGCTCATTATTTTGGTTACTCATATCCAAACTGGTGATGATGAGGGCCGGGTAGTCGAAAAAAGGAAACTTTAAAGGAAAAAAGTGCAGTTTGCCATCTTCTTTTCAAGTTGGTGACAGAAAATAATAATAACAATTGGGATATTTTTAAAGCGCCAGTGTCCACCAACGAATGCATGCTTATGGCACTGAGAATCTATGTACAAGGAAAATGAAGAGTCACTGGAAGGCTTTAGTGAAGAAAGGGGCCTTCAGATTTTTCTTGAAAGAATCAGTTGTTTCACAAAGTTATATTTGGAGAGTTCAATAGGAGTGGAACAACGTTGTGAAAACTTTTCTTTCCGTAGGAAAAGAGGCGAGCCGGGGGAACTACCAGTATATGTTGATCTTGAGAACGAAGAATCCTGGATGGAACATGCTGGGTTAACAGGGATGATAGATATGAAGGAGCAGGATTGTTGAGGCACTTATAGACGATGCACACAACTTTAAAGTCTATCCGGTATTGAACAGGAAGCCCATGTAGGGAGTGTAAGACAGGAGATATATGGTCATATTTAGAAATAATTCTGGCTGTGGTATTCTGAACTTTCTGGAGCCTTTTTATAGGTTCTTTACAGAGTCTGGTGAGAAGGCTATTGCAATAGTCAGGACGGGAAACTACTAGACATCTAACTAGGATGTGCACTCTGCTTGGTGATATACTTCCTGATTGTGCCAATGGTACGAAGATGTTGAAAGCAGATCTTACACAGATGTTCAACTTGTGAGGATATGGATAGGTCAGAATGCAGCTGCACTCCTAGATCCTAGATCCTTGACTCGTCTTGAGGGAGAGATACAGGCAGAGGCAATCTTCACTTCATCCATATTCACCTTGTCGGTGTGTTGCTGTCTTCCCACTAACAATACCTCAGTTTTCTCGCCATTAAGTTTTTGTTTCTTTTCAGTCATCCACGATTTTATTTACAGACGTGCATGTTTTCAATCTGCTGAGGGGTACTAAGTAAAGAGCCTATATTGAATTTATTCATCAATTCCACATCACCAGCATATGAGAAGAGAGGAGTGTCAAACTTGTCGGTGACGTCTTTGAGATGATTGACATAGATAAGAAACAAAACTGGACCCAGTACTGAAACTTACGGCACACCACAAGAGAGCACTGTTATCTCAGAATAACTTTCCAGAGACACACACACATTGTCTTCTGTTGTAGAGTCAAGATGTGAACCAGGCGAGCACGGTTCCGGCAATACCTAAGAGAGTCAACAGTGCCATATCTCCAGAATCTACAACACACTATAGGGCATTCACAACGCTCAAGAGCAACGTCTCTGTTGAGTCATGAGGATGATAAGCAAACTGATAGTCATCCAGGATGTCATGCACATTCAAGTGTTCCATCAGTCTTTTTGTAACAGCTTTCTCCACTAGTTTTGAAAGATATATATAAGTCAAATTTGGAACTGTTGATAGTTCTTTAGAATGTTACTATCTAGTTTGGAACTCTTTAACAATGGTGTGACGACAGCATCTTTTAAGCGGGAAAGGACAACTCCAGGCGAAAGGCTTTTGTTGACAATGTCTGTGATAACTTGCAGCAGATGATCTATCACAAGATTACTTGGCATCGGATCACAGTGACAGGTGGCCGTGTTAGATGACTTGATGAGAGCCAGTACTTCTTTTTGAGTACAAGGTATGAAACAAACAACGTATCTGTGAACAACACAATAGACTGTTGATACTCCTCAAGGAATTTCCTGATCTAAAGAATCTTATTGTCAAAGAAAGTATTGAAATCACAGGCTAGCTGGGAAAGACGGACATAGTGTCATGAATAGGAAGAACTACTGTCAATGTTGCTGTCAATAAATGCGCCTTTGCTCTCTTACAATCTTGCAGAAGGCATTTCTTTGGGATTTGTATATTTGACGGTGTATTTCAATTTGGGATCTTCGCCATTTGCGTTGTACTTAAGAATATTTCTCT